TAATATTAATATTAAATATCTCAAGGAATGAAGATATGGTTAGTAGGCTAGTTTGTTTTAATATATATTTAACTCAACGTACAACATTAAAAAATGTGAGTCAAATTCCGGAGTTCCAGGTTTGGCGTTTGGGGAGTTAAAGAAGCTGACAATCTTCATTTTTTTTGTTCAATTTCATAAACAAACACACAATTAAAGCAGCATTCGAGATTCGAGACTCGAAGCTTACAACATTAATTAATGCCACATATTAAGTGTTCCTACTTCTAAATTCTAATGTATTAATTTCAATTTAATTATTAATAATAAGTTTCTAGCTACCACCAGCCATAAAAACTGTAATCGAGTGGGTGAAGAATGACTCTTGTACCTAAAGATCGTAAGGTTAATACTTATCAACGTCATTTCAGTCAAGCAACAAGGTATTTGTAGTGCAGTTTACCTTTTCTATGTGGTATGAAAATTATTACATAGGAGCGAGGTTTATTCTGTGCACATTGTTTTCGGATAATAGCTATAAGTTTACACCTAGGGTTACTAACGAAACAAAGTTTAAGAAACTATTTTAGATTGATCGACCAGTTTAGTTGTAATTGAGGTTAAATAATTAATTATTAATAATGTATGTAGACGTGGATATGAGCGCATTGTAGCATGGATTATGGGAAAATCTCGTGAATTTCTTCAGCGCTAGCTCACTACCCAACAGAATAGAAGAAAGAATCCTTCCATTCTCCAATACTTTCACTTTTGAAATTTCAGTATTTTTATTATTATTATTATTTACTATATTTAATTATATCCCTTGTTTGCTGCACTCCCGGTCCATTTCATTATTTATTAGTTCTTAAACCCTATAAAAATCGATCGTCCCCTTATTAGAAAAAAAAAATTCATAATTCAAGGTAGTATATATATAGGTCATTAATTATTGAATTAGAACCAATTATGATCCCTCTTAGCTTGTAGCTTTCATTGGGCCATTAGATAAAGCAAGCTAAGCTAGCTCAGCTGCAACTGTTTCTCCAATACCCTAATTATTAGTGGTAGATAAATGCATGATTAATTAGGCAGCCAACACATCCTTTTCATTGGTAGAGTATATATTTCACAATAAATATCATAATATAATATAATATAATATATATTAATTGGAAGCAAAGTATAAGTTGGTAAACCATACCAAAATATTATAATACACTGCAAAGTTTGACCTTTCAATTTATACATAAATTAATTCTATAATTTGGGGTAATAATAATATATAATATATTGCAAAGTTTTTTTTTTTAACGAAAAAAAAAAACTAAACAGTAGCATAAGGTTGTGATGGTGTGTATGGTGCAGTGAAGATAATTTGGATGTAACTTTAAGTGAGTAGCAAGTCCAACTATACTTAGATTTGGAGTAAAGAAAGGTCACAACGGAAAAGGAATTAAATAGAAAAATGGAAACAAAAAGTTAACTATCAAGTTGGTGGCTACACAAAACACACATGCAAATGTTACTCTTAGTGGAAATTTTTTACAAATTGTTTGCTTTAATTAGTTAATGTTGTTCACATTAACAAACTCTAATGGTGGGGATATTATATTAATTTTTTAGGTTGAAAAAATATAGAACAAATACTACATTTTAAAGAATCATGAGTGTTAAAAAAAAAAAAAAAAAAAAAAAAGTTATTCTTGTTCAGGGGAAGGTTCACGTACGGGAGAGCCTTTCTCCCCTATAAAAAGTGTGGACATATCCACACCTTCCATATTGAGAAATTAAAGGATACAATCTTAGTATTACTAAACTTTCAAATTTACAATAATTATAAAATGAGTCCTGCTCTTAAAAGAGGAACGATTTATTTAATCATTATAAATAAATTAAAAGAGAGGCCAATATTGAAATTACTAAATTGTTCATCTATTTAACACCAATTTGACGTAATAACAAATGCAGAACTAAATTAAACAATAACACAAAAGTTTGGGACTACATTAAGTCACTAAAGTCGTTTAGACGAAATTGAGAAAAATCAATATAGTCGAGGACTATTTTGAGTATGTATTAACTCTTTTGGTATTAGAATTAGATTAATAGTAATAGACCTTGCACACATGATGGGTGTGTTGAGCATAAAATGTATAAAACATAAAAGCGTATTCCAACTATCTACACATATTAATTAATTTATCTAATTAAGTTGATTATCAAATTAAAATGTATTTATAAATTAAACAACCAGTCAATTAAAATAGTGAACATCAAAATAATTTGTTTTCTGAACTCTTGGAAATACTTTCTACAAAATGTTTTAAATTCATTAGTTGTATTTATAAATTTTTGTGGGAATTATTTGTTATATAATTGAGAATACTTGTATTGATCATTCATCAATCAACAAAATTTATTGCGAATTATTTGGACCATCATACATTCATTACCTTAGACACAAATTAAATAAGCATGATGTTTTTATTTTGTATCCTACGATCCCTCAGCTCAGTTATGTACTTTATTTGAAGCAAATTATTACCTGACTTATAATTCCACAAGTACTCTATAATAATTATAATAAGTTAATACCCAAAATCGTCCTCGACTATAGTGATTTTTCTCAATTTCGTCCTAAACGACTTTGGTGACCTAATATCGTCCCATACTTTTGTGTTTCGCTCAATTTAGTCCCAGACTTTTGTGTTTTTGCTCAATTTAGTCCTTCATTTGTTATTCTGTCCATTTGGTGTTAAATAAATAGACAATTCAGTAATTTTAATATTGACATCTCTTTACTCATAGACATGTGAACTGCGAAATCCTTTTTTTTTTTTTACGAATTACTCCTAAAACTGCGAATATAACATTTGATTTGTAGGTCCGGGAGTAATTCTCGGTGTAATTCGTACAAGAAAGAGGAATTTCGCACTTCACAAGTTGAAAGTAAAGAGAGATCAATATTGACATTACTAAATTTTCCATTTATTTAACACCAATTTGACGGAATAACAAATGGAGGACTAAATTGAGCGAAACACAAAAGTCTGGGACGATATTAGGTCACCAAAATCGTTTAGGACGAAATTGAGAAAAACCGCTATAGTCGAGGACGATTTTGGGTATTAACTCTAATTATAATTGTTATAGTTTAAATTATATTAATAGAACCGGTACAAAAAATAAACATAGTGATTTATTGTTCCTTGATAGTTTGCCGCTATTACATAGAAGCGATGTTTACTCAATTCAAACCTTTGAATGGTGATTGCGGGTTTCTCTTGTCATCTTTGATTTACAGGAAAATCTACAAATATCACCTGAAGGCCGGTGTGCTCTGCTCTGGTTGAAAGTTGAAACATCGATTGTAACCTTAGCCAGTAAATGATCATAAGGAGGTGCACATACATATCTTAATCGGTTCAAACTAAGAAAGTCAATACGTCGCTACTTTCATTGGAGTCGAACTTAAATTTCTCGTGTTATCTTTTTAAAAATAAATAAATAAATGTAGTGTAAATCATCATATATCAGGTTAAAATATCCACCAACACACTAATTTGAAAGTTAGATAACAAGATGCTAATTTGAAAGTTAGATGGTAGTACTTGACAAAATATTCATCAAATTCAATTACCAATTTAGTTAAGATATAATGAATGCATGGATCCCAAATTTTGAATTTTACATATATAGAGTGCTAGATGCGCACGTTTGGAGGTGTATATATATATATATATATATATATATATATATATATATATATATATATATGGGCGAGTTCAGGTGCGGCAGTGTCTTACGGTACGACAATTTCTTACGGTGCGGCAACACCAATACTTCAACAAATATGCACCATCAACGTTAGGAAAATACACCACAAAAAACAGAGTAAACAGAGTCCTGCATCACCAAACACACACCATTAGGTGTGAGTAAAAACACCATACACTGTTCAGAAATACACCATTGGGGGTGGTGAGTTATATGGTGTATGTATTGTTTTGAGTCTGTTGTGTATTCTGTGATGTTTTATTGCATTTCATTGTGGTGTGTTTTTCTTACACTGTTGGTGCATATTGTTAACACTGTTGGTGTATTCTGAAATTCCGCCACACCGCCGCATTTGAACTTTATATATATATATATATATATATATATATATATATATATATATATATATATATAGAGAGAGAGAGAGAGAGAGAGAGAGACGAGGTGCGGCAACACCAATAGTTCAACAAATATGCACCATCAACGTTAGAAAAATACACCACAAAAAACAGAGTAAATAAAGCCCTACATCACCAAACACACACCATTAGGTGTGAGTAAAAACACCATACACTGTTAACACTGTTGGTGTATTCTGAAATTCCGCCGCACGGGAAGATCCCGCCGCATTTGAACTTTATTCTATATATATATATATATATATATATATATATATATATATATATATATATATATATATATATATATATATATATATATATATATATATATATATATATATATAGAGAGAGAGAGAGGGATATACACTTTAGAAGTCAAATAACATAACTGTGGCTCTTTCAAATGGAAGGTTTGAACTCAGATTATATTATAAATATATATGGGACACAGTCCAGATACACTTTATAATTCGTATGGTATATATTTAGAGGTAAGCGACATAAGTGTGACTCTTCCAAATGGAAAGTTCCAACCCACAATATATTATTGCATAACAGAAAATAATCAATGGAGTAAATAAAAATTTATTTATTTTCCAAATTTAAATGAGAGTCATTGTATATAGCTAAGCCGAAAGAGATGTAGAAGAGGAGAAGTTAAAAAAAAAAAAAAAAAAAAAAAAAAAAAAAAAAAAAAGCAAGAAAGCAAGCTAGCTAAGGAGTATTAATGGTGAAGATTGTGAGGTGGCAGGGAGGCAGATGAAATATTCAAGTGGCAATAAAAGAGGGTGGGCTTTGTTGAGAGGATGGGTAGGTCTCTCTGATTTATTACCATTCTCATAATCACCTCTCTCTCTCTCTCTCTACCTATACATACACATATACACATATATCAGCTCCATCCCCTTTCAAATTTAACCTGTTCAGTTCAACCCTATCTAGACCAAACTAAATTAAACCCATCAATTATTATATATAAATATATATATTTGGATATAAATTCCATGCAGAGATGGTGATATATAATATCAATCATGATGAAGCTGCAGATGTTTGGGGTTTTGTGCTAGCTATCTAGTTACTGTTCTTCATTCATTTCCTCCTTCTTAATTCTGCTTCACCCACCTCTCTTCATTCATTTCTGTCAACACTTAAATCACTATATATATATATATATTAAATACAAAAGTCATTTTCTGGATTTTCTTCAATTTCAATTCCCTGTTCGTTAGTTGGTGATCGATATTAAGGCCGGGGAGCTTTCAGCTTTAATTTGTGGTTAGCAGTTGGGAATTCCATCTCTTAATGGGTTTCTAGTTTGCTTTCTTTCAGACCCTTTTTTGATCTCCTTTCTTTCTGGGCTTAAAGAAATTCTTATTCTTTTGTTATGGCAATGAATGAAATGGTCATTTTTGGAAGAAGAAGAAGATCTTCTTCTTCTGTTTTTCTGGTGCCATTTTTTCTTTGGTTCTTCTGGCAAAGGTCTCAGGCTGTTGAGACCCAAACCTTCAACTACACAAGATACAGACATGTCAGCAGCTTAAGGCTTGATAGGATTGAGAAGCATCTTGACAAGATCAACAAACCCCCAGTTCTCACCATTCAGGTTTCTTTCAATTCTCTCTCTCTCTCTCTCTCTCTCTCTCTCTCTCTCTCTCTCTCTCTCTCCTTATATATATATATGTATATCTTGTGTTTTTATATATATACTATGGTTTTGTTTAGAGCCCAGATGGAGATATCATTGATTGTGTTCATAAAAGAAAACAGCCAGCTCTAGATCATCCTCTTCTCAAGAATCACAAGATCCAGGTACACCCTATTTTGAAACTAAATTTCTAAGAATATAATGTTAGTTGGGAAATATAAGCATTATATTCTACAATGTTTCTACAATACCTAATATGATCAAAATATACCATGAATGAGAGGACAACCTAGTCAACTCAAGTCAGATTGTTAGGTTTAATAACCATAAAGTTACAAGTTCGACTCCTCCTTTCAAAATGACGGATTAATATTCTTTTTTTGAACCAATCACTTATGGATAATAGCGACTGATTTACCTGCAACACTCATAGATGTTGATTATATATCTTTCATATAAATTAAGCAACAAGCTTATATTATAAGACATCATTGCTAATTATGGGATGGGTTTTAGAAATTATTGTGGCGACAATATAATGCAATGATATGTATGATTGAGGTTTGATTTGATCCTTTGCAATGATATGATGCGATGATGAGCGCAGAGAGATCCGCCGGAAATGCCGAGGATGAAAACGGTGAAAGAGGATGCGGTGAGAGATGAGACGATGAAGAATAGTAGCGGCGGCGGCGGCGTGCCGCAGCTGTGGCACCGGAACGGGCTGCGCTGCCCCAAAGGCACGGTGCCGATACGGCGGAGCACGGTGCACGATGTGTTGAGGGCCAAGTCTCTTTACGACTTTGGGAAAAAACAACGGCGATATGTGCCGCTTGACCGCCGTGTTGATGCGCCGGACGGTGTTAGCGCCAATGGCCATGAGGTGTGTTTACTATCTACATTAAATTTATTCATTTTTGTCTCAATTTTACCTTTTCATTCAACTTGTTGCACATGCATTATTATTATTTTTTTAATACGCTTACCTCTATTATGTGGTTAATTAACCATTTATTACACAAGAGTCTGGTTTACTAATATATACCATAGAATAGTAATTATGAGTTTTTTCATGACCCAAACAAAAAAAATGGGTGTGTTTGATTCATAAGTTTATACATTAGGAATGATAATCAAAATCATAGTTAGTATTTGGTTGACAACTTTTTTAAAACATAACTATGAGATTTGATTATCGCTTCAATTAAAAACATCATTCCCTAATTAAAAAATGCATCATTCTATCTTATTGGTAATATGATTTGTAAGTTTGAGTTTGTGCTTTTAGATTTTTTTTTTTCATATTGGTGCTTTAGATGTCATTTTATATTATATATATGATCGATTGTCTTGATTTTTTGTTCGTATTTTTAAAACATTTATTCTCATTATAGGGTTATACATAACCAAATATTAGGTAATCATTTCAATTCCACTATATTACTAAACATACAAAATACTTTTACCCAAACTCATATCATTATCAAATATTCAATTTTCATTCCGATTCCTATTGCTATATATGAACCAAACACCCTCTTGATATGACTCATTAAATATATATTATAGTAATAGATTTAGAGAATTTGTAGTATGGTAAATTCAAATTGGGCATTAATTACTACACTATTTTCTATGGTCAAAGTTTGTAATAAATAACCATAATATTTTATGGAGGAGTAAATCCCATTTGACATTTTGACATGGCACTAAGTGAATTCTGAAAGTATTATAATATATCGTGTGATATTATAATATGTAGTGTAATATTGATTTTTCAAATAAAATAAGATATGGCATTAAATAGTAGACGATATTATTAGGTGTGGTATTGTGGGATTTTTTTTTATTTTTTTTTAACTAAACAGAAAAAAATATGTTGTCATGAATTTGTATAGCATGCAATCGCGTACACCGGAGCCTCGCAGGATATATACGGAGCGAAGGCGACGATTAACGTGTGGGACCCATCCATTGAGATAGGCAACGAGTTCAGCCTCTCCCAGATCTGGGTACTCTCGGGATCTTTCGACGGCTCAGATCTCAACAGCATAGAAGCTGGCTGGCAGGTACTCCTTCCAACTCCCTGCTCCCTCTCACACCCAATCCTATCCCATTATTCTTTTTCTTTTCAACTTTGCTTTTTAAAAAAAGAGCTAAACTTCTTTGTTTAAAAAAAAAAAAAACAATTAGCTAAATTTCTAAAGCTTTGATTCTTCTACTAGTCAGGTTAGTCCGGAGCTGTATGGTGATAACAGGCCTAGATTGTTCACTTATTGGACGGTCAGATTTCTATCCTCATTTTTTATATAATACTTTCTGTCCCAGTTTATTTGTGCAGTTTCGCCTTTTATTTGTTCAGTATAAGTTTGATTGAAATTATTTTTTATCCCATTTTTCATAATATTAAGTTTAATAATTAAAAATAATATTAGACAAAAAAAAAGTTAAATTTGAATGACTATAAATCTTGAAAATTGTGTGGATTGGTATCGATATGGTTAGATTTGAAAGGGGATTAGAAATAGGTACGAAAACGATAATTATATAATTAATTATAAGTTAGTCAGAGCCATAAAATTTGGTAATCCTAGTAGAGGAATCTTGAATGTAAAGTCAACCTTGCCTTGGGTCAAGGGATGCTCCCACAAAGTACCAATTTCTTTGTTTAAATTGCATTTATTATTTGGATTCCGTGCATTGAAAGTTAAGTAGTCCTCGAAATCGATTACCTTTTTTTTCCTTTTTATTTTTGTTGTCAAGTTTGAATAGTTGGAACTATAGCCTCTATATAAAACCAAAATTAGTATTTATAAGAAATAAATTAAAAATAAATAAATAAATACACTTAAACGTATTAGCTAGCATAACCAAATGAGGTTATTTAATTAATTATTAGTATTTTATGTGTATCATTTTAATTGTATGACATGTTTATTATTTATTAGGTAAACAAACATTTTCTTTTACACTTATTTTCTTTACTGTTTTAAATATAAATTTTGATATTTTTTTCATTTTTTAAATGTGATATATATATATATATATATATATATATATATATATATATATATATATATATATATATATTATGTTAATACTAAACTAAATATTACGAAAAAAATTATATAACTTGAGTCAAATCATATTAATCGAACTAAACACATAAAATGAGATGAAAAAAATAATATTTTTTGGTATGCCTAAAGAAAATGCAAATTGTACTTCGATCTCTTATTATCTAGCCCTAAAATTACATATTTATATAGATGGAATAATATATTATTGTTATTTTGTTGTGTATGTTAGCTTAGAATAATTTAAAAAGTTGAACATATAAATCACCTATCCACCTGTAAATTTTGACTATTTAACAAACTAAGTAGTTATATATGAGAACTTAAAAATCAAACAAATTAAAATGATGTACATGAATCATTAAATTCACGAATAATCAATGAATATAAAGTAAATGTAACACTTAATACTATATAACTTATGACACTTGAGAAATTATTTATTAAAGAAATTCAGATATATAATATTTTCCTTCAAGATTTTGAGCCAATCATTTTGTTGGTAGGATGGGCAATAAAAGCTGAAAAAAGTTGGGGAAGGCACTGAAGAACATGATGACTGTTTAAAAGTCATTAAACATTAAAAGATTAAAAGACCATATTAGACAGGACATGAAGATGACAATTCCAATATCACAAGGGTGTAGTAGTAAATGCTAGTGGTCCTTTGAAATATTAATGCATGCATGGAAGTGGGAGGCTCTCTGCTTTAGTTTCCCACTTTGCCCAACTCATGCATTTAGTAATGGTATTAATTAGTCCATGTGACATGTCAAATGTGTCACTGGCAATAAATCTTTTTGACCTCTTTAAGGGCAAAAGAGTAAATAAACCTTTTAAATTTATTTCGTTTTCGTTTACATTTGACCTAATATATCTTAAATATAGTAACGTGTAAAGTAATACGTTTTATATGAAATATTTACAGAGTGATGCATATCAAGCAACCGGATGCTACAATCTTTTGTGTTCTGGATTTGTGCAAACAAATAATAGAATTGCAATCGGTGCTGCCATTTCTCCCGTATCTGCCATTGATGGAAGCCAATATGACATCACCATCCTCATATGGAAGGTCCATATCAAATCTTGTCCATACAATTATGAAATTAGCCCATTATAAAATTATTAGTTTGTATTTAATGGTCCACCTTGCATTTTGTATACTTAATGTTTATTTTTAATGTACTAAATGTTCATTTTTAAATATATTACTTAAAAATGAACTTTCAGTACGTTAAAAATAAATCTTTAGTATACTAACAATAAAAATAATTAGTGATCCACAATATAAATTGCCGGTCAGTATTGATGTGGGTTGTTCACGGGTCGGGTTTTACACATTGCAATGTACCATAATTTCATGTAATTTGATTGCAGGACCCAAAGATTGGGAATTGGTGGATGGGCTTTGGTGACAACACTTTAGTGGGCTACTGGCCCGCGGAGCTATTCACGCACTTGGCGGATCGGGCCACCATGGTGGAGTGGGGAGGAGAGGTGGTGAACTCTCGGGCCACGGGCGAACACACATCCACCCAAATGGGCTCGGGCTATTACGCAGAAGAAGGGTTTAGAAAGGCGAGCTATTTCCGAAACCTTGAAGTTGTAGATTCCGATAACAGTCTCAGCTCGGTTCAAGGCATATCCACACTTGCAGAGAACACTAATTGTTATGACATCAAGAGCTCTTACAGTAGCGACTGGGGAACCCATTTCTACTATGGCGGGCCGGGAAGAAGCCCGAATTGTGCTTAATTTGTATGTTTAGTACCGAATATAAAATTTGTTTATGAGAGAAAAGTCTCTACTAGCTAGTATTCTAGCAATTTTATTTTTCTTAGATTTTGCTGTTTCCAACCTTGTTTATGCTCTTATTCCAAATTGCTTGTCTATGTTATGTATGTATGTATTTGATTATATTATTATTTTGTTAGACGACCAGAAAAAACTCTAAACCACTATTTGATTATATTAAACAATAGCATGAGAAAGGTAAGGAAATATCAATTAAGATAGTCGGTTGGAAATTTCTGTTTATCTAATATATTACTCAGCATTTCATTTCCAATGACATTCTATAAATTAATTGATCAATCATAAATTATTTATGAAAACTCTGAGTACATAAAAAAAATAATTAATTACAAATTTAATGTGATATGCATTTTGAAAGTGAAAAGAATATTTTATGGATGTGAATATGTAAAGTAAATTGTTAAATTTGATGGTGGGGGTGGGGGTGGGGGGAGGGAAAGAGTGAGACCCACATTTTTTATTTATTTATTATTTTTATGAATTAAAGTGTGTTTATTTATGCAAAGAAATGAAAAGAAGGAATTAGATAAACCCTAAACCCCGTTTTCTCCACCCCAGTATTCATCTGCTCGCTCTTTCCTTACTCCACCATTTGGCTCGAGACCGAAGAGACTCGCTACCGGAGTACCGGCTACTGCCCCTCTCGTCGGAGTGTCCCTGTCTATGCCTCTGTCCTCGCACGGTCGCTGGTCGCACCTCGCCAGTCGCCACCAAACGCGGAACACCGCCACACCGGTGACCGGTCGCCGCCTTACCGGTCAGCAGGAGTCCACGTTGGTTCCTAATCACAGTCTCAGTGTCTCACGATCTCAGGTTCGTAGTTCCTAATTGGCTAATTATTTTTTGCCCTAATTTCTCTAATTTTATTTATATGAATGTGAGCACTGAGCAGTGAGTATGTATAATAGACTAATATTGTTTTGAATGTGAAATTAGTCCATCAGTTTTTGCCAAAATATTGTTTTTAATCTTGCCTAATAGAAGTTGTTAATTGATTAAAGAAAAAAAAAAAAGGTGTAAACCTTAATTTGGCAATTATTCATTAGAATTGGTTGTTAGAGTGCAGTGGTGTATGGAAAGAAATGAATTGTTGTGGTTGTTAAAATGAAACAAATTATAAAGAGAAAGAAAAGTATGTACCAGTCAGTGAGGGTTGTTTAGCAGACTGGCTGCTTGACTTTGATTAGAATGTTGCTCCAACTAGTTTTATCAAAATTTCCAGGAAATATATTCTTTTTGAAACCCTCCAGGAAATATCTATTAAGAAATCACAATCAAAGTGTTGGTCGTATGTGCTTTTATATGAATGTGAGCACTGAGCAGTGAGAATGTCTAATATTGTTTTGAATGTGAGCAGTGAGTATGTCTATACTGATTTTTATTTGCATTGCCATAATTTCCTTATTTTTGTTGGAACCTTGTATTTGAACATTTTTGAATTCATTTTACCTTTGCTTCTTCGCCCCCACTCAAAGGAAATCCTGGCTCCGTCCCTGAATGGAGATAAGAACTATTTAGACCGCACATGATTAGACGAAAAATTCCATTGGTGAATGGTTGCTGATCTGCTATTGGAAATTTTCTGTGTACTCCGTGTGAATTCTATATATTTTTTAATACTCCGCATGAATGATTCAAGTGGTTTGGGGGCTATAGAGTTCATATGGAGTATAGAAGCATGTGTATGAATTCTGAATTCTGTTGGCTTACATTAAGTCTTGGAAGTGTTTGGTATTTTTGCAACTTTATTAACTCTTGCAAGTGTTTTGTCTTTTGAATTCTGAATTCTGAATTCTGTTGCTTCTGTACTCCCTATGAATTCTATAGGGCTCCAAACCACTGGTTCTTTGTCAAAATCTACAACTTTGGGCATATTTGATATCATTCTTAATAAGCTAAATGGACTAGTTTTGATAAAATAAAATTAAAATTTTAAATTTTTAACCCAGCCCGCTAGTCGCTAGACCCACCACTCCCACCAGCATGCATGTGCTGGTTAAGGTTAGAGAAATTTAGCCTGCGGGTCGGCCATCAAATATCTCAGCCAGCAGTGGGGTGGGCCTGCCCGCATCGATACCCTAGTATCAAACTTCTGCTAATACACATGTATTGATCTTTTTTTTTTTTTGGGGTCAAAGTTGCCTATATTGTACTGTTTCTCAATCTGTGGAGTGTCTCAATTTCTGTAATTGATTTTATCTTTGGTCATTCAATAGCTGAAGTAGTTATTTAGTGCCGGCGGAAATTGTTTATGGAGATTTTAAATCCTAGGACTGCTTTAGGTGTAACTGAATAAGGAAGCCGAGAAAATCCTGGAGATTTCAGTGTTTTTTCATTTTGCTAGTATATTAGGCACATGCTTATTAATTATCCAATCATCCCTGTTGGAATGCAACTATGCAAGTATGCAACTCATCCAATAAATTGTAATCCATTCTCAGAGATATGAAACTTAATTTCTCAATACTTGGACAAATGGGTTTAATTGTTTCTGTTCTATTCTGCAATTTCTACTGCCTTTGAAGTTGTTTGCAATCCTATCGATCCATTTTCTGTTTTTTTTTTTTTGTGCAAATCATGTCATCATGATATTATCATTATATCATGATGAATTTTATTTTAGTAGATACTATCCTGTTCCATCGCTAATTTGAAAGGTATAACTTTTACAGCAAAGGGTATGCGTTTTGCTGGTCTTCATTTTACATGTTTTTCGATTTGCAAGCGCTGTAAAAATCTTAAGGAGTTGGTTGCTTCTTCACTCACATGCCACAGTAAAAGACAATTAAGACATAGCAGCTATGCTACTAGTCCTTTGGAATACTATCATCCAATTCTTCAATCAAATGGTTTACAGAATCGGTTCAAGAATTGGCAACATTTGAGAAAGGGTAAACTGATGGCAAGTACTTTCAGTCAGGCTATTGGTTTTTGGCCCCGCCGAAGGGTTCAACTTTGGTTAGAGAAGATTGGGGCAATTGAACCATTTGCTGGAAACTTAGCCACCTGTTGGAGCAACATCAAGGAAGAGGAAGCTCTTGAGAGATATATGCTTATTACTGGAAATCCTGTCTCCTTGCATGGTTTTCAGGTCCATCACAATATGTACCCAGAAGATGGCTGGCTTGCAGCTTCCCCTGATGGAGTAATCGATACCTATGTTCATGGTTTGCCTTCCCGAGGTGTTTTAGAAATCAAATGCCCATTCTTTGGAGGTGATATGACCAAGGCTTGGCCTTGTAGTAGAATTCCCATTAATTACATTCCTCAGGCACAAGGTTTGATGGAGATCTTAGATCGAGATTGGATGGACTTGTATATCTGGACTACCAAAGGAAGTAGTTTGTTTAGGTTGAATCGAGATAAAGAATATTGGCAAGCCTTGGAGATTGCACTTTCTGACTTCTGGTGGAAGCATGTGCAACCTGGTAAGGAATTGTTCAATTGTTCAGAGATCACAAATCCCCTTGTTGAACTAAGATCACTTATGCCAGAACCTAGACACGAATTATGTAGTTACCTTGTCCATGAAAGCTTCCGTATTGTGGTCAATGACTCTAAGTTGGTGGTGCGTGAAATTAATGGTAAACTGCAAATGTGATGCTCCAAAGGTGGACAGTCAAATTCATTGAACTGGATAATTAGATTCCAAGTCATGGTAGTCTTCTACAAATTGTGTTGTTCAAGGATAAAGTTCTCTTCTACTGGAAGAGAAACTTCGATTCTAGTTACGTGTTGTGGATTAGACTGGTTTCTTTTAGGTATTGATCTGTGCACACTCTTACTAGAGGAGAGGCAGATTTTATCATCTGGGCAAATCTGAAATGCTAACTGCACTCTTAGAATCCTTTAGATGAAATGCATGAGGATGGGGAACTTGTTACATGCAGGCATGATGTGAATGTTGTTACAAGCATTTATGGTGTACTCCACAAATTTTCCATATTCTGATCAGTGACGGAGGGAGCATGGGGGCAGCTGCCCCCACTGCAAAGAATTATACAGCCCCAAAACGACGTCGTTTTGGGGCTGTATATATATATATATATATATATATATATATATATATATATATATATATATATATATATATATATATATATATATATATATATATATAATTTTTTATTCCTTTCTTCTTGTTTCTTCCTATGCGGCTCCTTTACCAATTACCATTTCACCTCTTGCCCTCTTCGCGACTACCACTACCGCACTGCGCATACCGGCAGATTGCAGACGCCAATTGATTGATATCTGCCGACTGCCGAGGCTCACCGCTCAGGCGCTCACGGTATGGTCCACTGCCGCAAATAGCTGCTTTTTGTCCTTTGTTTTGAATTCCATTGACCAATTGCTTGATATCTGGATTATCTGCTCAGCTGCTCTGTCTCTTTAAACCTAATTGATTGCCTGATTGGTTCTTAATTTCTTTTTCATCTGGAAGACTGGAATTTTGGATAAAAGAGAAAAACCTAAAAAACTAAAATTTAGTTCATCAGCACTTTGGATTGGGTTGCATTTGATTATTTGAAGTTGCGTTTTATAATTTATTGCTTCCTATAGATAATAGATGAAAATGAATTTGAGATGATTTTGCATAGTTTGCTTCAGAATTGGGTATTGGGGCTGTGTTGCCAGTGAACCAGTGACGTTCTGAGTGGTCTGACGGATTGCTTAGTTTGCTTAGGAATTGGGGCTGTGTTGGCAGTGTTGCCTTACTTTGCTAGAATGCTAGTTTGCTTAGACTCTTAATAGTTAACAGTTAATGTTTGCCTATGATTTGCTCTATGTTTACAGTTTACTTCAAATAGACTACAAAATGCTCTATGTTTACTTGTTTAGATAATTAGATTATATATATATTTTGTTCAGTTACGGAAAAATCCTTTAAAAGAAAATCAACTTTTAATGTAGCCCATTGTGCCTGAGCTGACATGAGTAACCATCAGGATACAACTATGTGGCCTTAAAATGTAATATGCGAGACCTGTAACATATAGTTTGCACAATGGCCAGAATCTCTGAGAACCAAAAAGCTGCTGACCTGCTGTATGTTACAAAATACTTCTTTGTAGAATAATATTCCCCCCCCCCCCCCCCCCCCCCCCGCCCCGCGTCTGATATTGCATTTTTTGTACAAAATAATATATTTGTGTGCTAAGCATGTAATACTTTTTATTTTAATTATTTTAATCACAGGCCAAATAACTCATTGATTTGTTTGCAGGAATAGCATTTGTAACAATAATGTCAGTAGTGGCAATAAAATGATACTCAGTTGTTTATAATGGCTATATATTTTGTTCCTACAAACAGATGAGGTCTGCAAATCCACTTCTAGTGCACAACATATGAAGCAAGGTTGGCTTTGTTGCTTTATTCAGTCTAGACTGGATTTGGAGAATTATGTAACTGTTTAGCTTATCTTACAGCCACAGGGCGCGAAGAGTCTGCAGGTGCATGAGTGACTGGCTCCTCGCTTGATTACCCAAGATTTGCCAAGGGTTTGATTCTTTCTCAGCGATGTCAAACATGGTTCTTGGATCCAACCCATCGACCACGAGGATTGAGGTCTGCCGTATTGGTGTCAAGTTCATTAGTGTAATTGGGTTATCCAACTAAAAAAATGCAATTAAGTCTTTTGACTGTTTAAAATTATGCAATTCAACCAAATTTAACATGTTCATCACGTCATTACTTATGTGGTGATCATCTTATTCCAAAATTATTAGTAAAATTGTTTTAATAATTTTAAATAAAAAATAAAAACACCCCTCTCCGTCTTTGTCTCCTAGGAACTTCTTCATCTCCCAAGTCGGAAATAGAGATGGGGAAATAGAGATGGGGAGGGGTTGATTTTTTTAATTATTTATAATTATTAAAATAATAATAATAATAATTTTTAATAGGATGACTGTCACTTGAGCGTTGATATAAGTAATATGTTAAATTTTGTCAAATTATAAAATGGACCTAATTAAACTTCTTTTAGTTATTTTATTAGAAAAAGAATATTTGTAATGATGAATTATTATTAACTACTTTTATTATTATTATTATTGTTGATTATTGATAATAAAAACAAAGCAGCTATAACAACAATAATAATTGTTAAAATTATATTAGTGATGGGAATATTTTCAGAGTATATGTTACCATACTTACTCGGTACCCAACTTAGTCACTGCGGGAAATTGTTCCTGAGCACATGTTCGATCTACCTGACCTAAATGCGAAGATCAAGCAAATGACTAGTCAACATGAGCCTTCACCCCACCTTAAGATCGGCCTTGACCTAGTGAAGTCGGGACGATCGACTCAATTAGGTCTACTTAGAGAATTTAACCCATGTCCCTGATCTTGATTCGTCTGCACGACTTAGTGGTCAATCAGGAATATTGCGATGCGTGGGCGTCACTCCACCGCCGTCGAACCAGCCGACTACATGTCTACATGCACTACACGTGTCAGGTATGCCGAGATCTCGCCATCTCGGTATGTGTCCCTTATCACTACTTATAAATAGCACATTTATTACATGATGAAGGGAAAACTTTTTTGTGCATTCTTCTCTTAAAAATGTTGAATCTCCAACCCCAGAGGCCCTCACACCCCAGCTCCCCACATGGCCACATAGCATTTGGGGTTATGTAAATCACAGTGACTTAATAACTCAACATAAATGGTCAAATATTAATGCACACAAAAAATTTACTCACTTTTAGACATTCCCACCTAACTACATATTCATATACTCTTGTGTACTTACCACATCAATTAGTTAAAATATTACATTTGCTATATAAAAGAAAAACAAAACCAACAATTGATAAATAAATAAAACTTAAAATGTTATAAGCTACTTTACATGTTATACATTAACATTAATCAAATAATTTATCAAACATCTTTATACAATTCACTAATACTAATAACTGATCAAAATAACTAATACAATTAACTATCAACAAATTTATAAACAATCACTAAATGTGTTGTCACTATATTTAAAAGAGCTCTTGTTGATTGTAGTCCTAAAAACGCATAAGTGTATATTGAGATCCTGTAATGGACTAATCTCAATGTTACTAACTTTTGATTAAATTAACTTTTAATGTTTTGATTAAAGTGACTTGATATCGATAAGGTACACACTTTTGGTTAAAGCGACTTAATATTTAATTATCCACAAATAACATTAATATCATTCAAGTTTTAAATTGCTTTACATATTCAAACAATTTTAACTTCTAATCTAACTTAATAAATGCAAGTCGTTTATTATAATCTTTATCGTGCGATGATAAGCGAGTGAGATGTATCCAAAATTAATTTTGAAAAGTTGTAAACACTCATAAATGTTTGAATGACTATTTTATTCTTTTAAGTTTATTAATTTAAAAAATAAAAATGTTTGGCATCGGTCGAGTTGGTCGAGTTCAGTCCATACTCGATTTGAGACGTGGTGTTGTAGTTTACCATAGAGGGATGTGGTTAAATAGTTAATGTCCACCTAATTGAGATCCAACAATTGATATCAAAGTCGATATCACGGGTTCGGATCATTGTCGAGGCGAAAGCCGAGTCTAGTCGCATATGGCATGTGTGGCGCATGTTGTGTAGTGTATCGCTAAAATCCAACAATTGGTATCAAATCATATGTTACGAGTTCAGATTGATGACGAGGCGAAAGTTGTGTTCGGGTGAATGGCGAGGCAAAAATCGAGTTTAGTCCCGGATGGGATGTAGGCGCAGGTTGGGGTTGTTAGGCGTCGGCCAGGTTGGTCGAGTTCTACAACTGTTTGATTAGAGACGTGACACTGTGACTTATCATGGAAGGATGTTGTTAAATGATTAATGTCCACTTACTTATCACCAATTTGTGCTCGATTCGCTGTTACTTATCATGAAAGAGTGTGGTTAAAGTCCACATACTTATCACCAATTAATTTTTAGTATGATAAGTATGATATGACAACCACATTGCCAAAGAACTCTGGTAGTAAGGCCAATCCCCAATAGTGGTTCATGGTGAAGTTTTTGAGGCAAAATAGGTGATGTGGCAATGAGAGAGCATCCACATCAGTGGATATTAGGGAGATATGCCAGATGAATTATCTTGGGTGGGGATAATAACAAATGTGGGGTGGGATTATTTTACAAGATATTTGTCCTGCAAATGTGGAGACAATGTCAGCAAAAAAGAAAAAAGAAAAATAAAAAACTAACACTGGCTGTGCGCGTTTGCGCACAGCCAATGTCTACACGGGCGTGTGCAATGCACGCGCTCGTGTAGCGCGTCAGGCGCGCTGACAGCGCGCCTGACGCGGCAGATTTTTATTATTATTTTTTTTTAATTTTTATTTTGTTATTTTTTTTCTTTTTTTTTTCCTCTCCCCTCCCACATTCTCTTTCCTAATCACTCTTACATTATCTCCCAAATCTCCCCAACTAATGTGGATGTCTCCCCAACTAATGTGGATGCTCTAAAAGCATCCTTATCAGTGTGGATATTTAGTGGGGAGAATGTAAGAGTGATTGGGAAAGATAATGTGGGAGAGGAGGGGAAAAAAAAACAAAACAAAAATTGATTTTTAAACAAACAAATATGAAAATGTAATTGGTCAAGCACGCCTGACGCACCACTCGGGCGCGTGCTTTGCACACGTCCGAGTGGACCATTCCGTTTCCCCCCACGCGACTGTTGCACAATTGATGCTTTTTGAGGTGGGACCCATTTTACTGCAATAATCCCCTCCCTTGTATATGCTCCCCACTTTTCTCTTTCATCCCTCTCTGTCCTCCACCATGGCTTACTTTTTTTCTTTATTTGTGCATGCTCCACTAGTGTAGATGCTCTAAGGGAGAGAGAGAAAGGATGTGGTTCTTGCAAAGGAGACCCAAGTTTTTTGCCTCATGCAGTGAGCCTCACAGTATAATTAAAG